GGCACAGAAACCCCACACCAGTCCGCCTGCTGAGTGCATCAGTTGTCCGTAAGCTAAAGCGATATGTAAACATACAAGGGAGCGGAACCGCTGCCCCGCGACAGTTTGATCGAGGCCGGTTAGGGCAGGAGGCTGGTAGTCTGGCAGCGTTTTCTCGCTTCGTTCCTTTCTCTCTCTCTTTTTATTCATTTTTATTTTAAAATTAAAATTTTTTGTGGTTTTTGTGGGCTTTTTTTTTTTTTTTTTGCTGCAGGGCCTTGGAAAAAAATAATAATAATAATAAAAAAAAATTTAAAATTAAAAAAAAAAAAGAAAAAAGAAAAATCAGGAAGCGGTAAAACAGCTCATACCGACGCGATGACAATCATCAGGTGAGGAGAGATGTTGGAGATGCTGGCGAGGAGGTCCGGGGCTAAGCGGGATAGGTGGCTTTCCGAAAATTCGCAGGGTGGGAAGATCTGCAGAACGTAGGCAGGCTGCGAGGGAGGAAAAAAAAATAGGGATGAGCGAGAAAGCGGGGCGAGGGCTGGCCTGAAATGTTTAAAAATGGGACGTTCGGATCGTTTTTTGGCTGTTTAAAGGCTCACAAATTGGCGCGTTCATGTAAGAACGGAGACGGCGTCCCGCAGCCGCAGGTGCGGTTCCCAAGACGGGGGAGTTTTTCCGCACCGGGGATGCAACAGCTGGCTGGTTTTATTGGGAAAAGCGGAAAAATTCCCGTTAATTATCTTTTCCGCAGCGCTGAGCGCCCGTTGCGGGGCTGTTTACACCCAGGGAAGGGATTAAACTGGATTCATGCAGCTGGAATAAATGCTCCCCATCACCAAAGCCAAATGGGTTTTGTCTTTACGCAGCCAAGAGCAGGAAAACATCCTGGAAAAAAATCAGGATACGATACGAGGAAGAAACGAGGAGTCTACTTCCAACGCGGAAAAAGAGCCGGAAAAGGGGGTCGATTTGTTTTCAGCCGAAGACGAAGGGCTGTGAGCAAAACCGAATATACTTCTGGGGTGGGGTTTTTTTTTTGGCCTTGCAGCTCATCTGCAGGAATTCTATCAATTCTATCGGAGCGTTTCGGTGGGTGACGTCAGAGGGGTCCGCGCAGGGGGGCTTTGCTGAGGCGGAAGGCTCGTAGGGCCCGTTCCCCATGGATTTAGTTTTATCTACGGCGTTTCAGGGCTTTCCCTGCCCGTACCTGGTTAGAGCCGGGGTTGGGAACGTTGATGATCCCTGCAGCTTGCTTAGCCTGCAGGTAGCTGATGAAGGCGGCCTTGAGGGACTCCGTCTGGTTGACTACGTCCTCCTGGTCTCGGCCGCACGGCAGCGCCAGTAACAGGCAGTAATCGCTCTCCACCTTGGCAAGAAAATATGGGAGTTAAAAGTCAAACGTTTGCTCGAACAGGCTCGTTTCCTGACACACATTCGTTATCTGCAGCGGAAAATCCTCTCTTTGAACTCCTTCGGAGTTACAAGAGACGTGCGGAAAGCTCGGCCAGCCCCGACGGCGAAAAGGACGAAAAACTACTGAATTCCACTTTCCACCTCGCTCGGATGCGTCAGCCAGCGGGAATCAGTTCCCGGGCTGAGGGACGGGTGACTTCAAAGGTTTCTCAACTCCGCCATTCCCTTTTTCTACGAGCGCAGAGCAATACCCGTCGCTCGCCACCTGCAATCTCTGTTTCACACTCTTTGGGACGAAGTGACCGCACAGCTGTTACCAGAATCCCCCAAATAACGCAGCACAGGCAACGAGAGCGGAGGTTTCTGCGAGAATCAGGGTTTTTTTCGTTACACACTGGTAAGAACAGCCCGGCTTTTGGCACCCATCTTCCCCAAACACGCATCCTCGCCCCGGCCCGGCCCCTCACCATCATTCTGCGCGCGACGCCCTCCAGCTGCGACGCCTCCAGTCGCATGCGCTGAGCGATTCGCAGCGGCGGTCCTCCCTCCGGCGCCGGCAGGGATCGGTGCGCCAAGACGTTATTCCCGGAGACGAAGTGGAGCTGAACAGCAGCCGTGTCGTTTTTTAGAGCCAAAAGGCCCTGCCAGACAATGGGGTATTTCTGGAAAGAGAGGGAGAAGAAATATTAAACACAAACGAAGGAGACGGGGATCTTAAATCCCATCTGAGCTGCTCGTTTGCCTCTGATACTTTCACGGGCAATTAAGACCCCACTGCTTTGCTTTAAGGACTCGGTACAGATGTAACATCTTATCACCCCTCATACGCGCCGGTCCGGGCTCGGGTTAGCTCCTGCTAAATCAGTAATTGAGTCCTTTTTCTTCCCGCTGGCTGAGCCGCCTGCGTGGCTCCCTTCATCCTAACATCAGAGCACTTCCCGAGCTCCCAGCACAGCGCGGGGCAGAGCAGGGCTCTCACCGAACGCCCTTTTCACTTTTACAACCGGGAGAATGGAAAAACCACAGCAGAGCTGCTCACGGTTACACGGGCAATACTCCGCGCTGAACGCAACCCTCGATTCCACGTCAGTGCCCGTTCCTCACCATCTCCCTCCTCTTCCTCTGGAGAGTGGGTTTTTTTTCCCCTTTTGCTTTCAATTAAATACACCATTGCTCTTTCCTGCCTGTGAAGATTTTACAGTCCTGCCGACTGTAAAAATGAGGCAGCACCGCCTGCCCGAGCCCGCAGGCTGTTTGAAACGATAACGAGAGAAACACGGGCTGCTCTGCATTAACTGCGCCTTTTCTTGAGCCTCTAAGTTTCACGCCACATAAACGTGAACACAGCTAAAATTCACCGGGGACAGACAATCCACCACCTTCTCCGTATCTGAAGCGGTTGGTGCAAGAGAGGTCCGATTTTGGTGCCACGGATGAGACGAGCTATGCAGAACCCGGTTATTTCTCCCCGGGACAAGGGGGCACGAGGCTACTCTGCCAGGAGAAGACGCCGGAGTGATACTTACCGTCAGAAGCTGAACCATATCCACAGGTCTCTGCGAAACGGGGTGAGGAGACGGCTCCTGTTTGAGAGCGGACTGGGGCTCGGGGCGATTGAGGGGCAGCCCCGGCGGCGCCCCGGGACCCGACGTCGTGGGGATAAACATGGATTGCTTGGGAACCGCCTGAGGTTGGTGCGGTGACGGAAGCTCCTGTTTCATCGAAATGGCAACGGGCGAAGGGTAGGAGGTCTGGCCCGTGTCTGCTTGCGCCCTCTGAAGGTGGACGTGAGGGTCTATCGGCGCCGCATGCCTATTTACAGTGGGGTGGTGACTCTGTTCGGGTCCTGCTGCCGGCGGGCCCTTGGGATCCTGCGGGATCTGAGGAGTCTTACTGCGTACTGGCTGGCTGGGGTGCGAGTGTTCGCCCTCCGGCAGACCCTGGGAAGCAGGCGGGGGGGGAAAAAGGAAAGATTTTAGGCCATGGGCATATCAGGACTCATTCGTTCAGTGCTAACGACTGCCACGACACCATCGGATCGCTGGCGGAGAAATCTGTGTCTCCACGCCACAGCACCGGCCCTGCTGCGGGGGTGTTTGGACCAGCCTCCCCGTCCAAAGCCACAGCAGCAGCCTCTCACACCCCAGAGCCGAAACCGCATCCCCTGAATCCCATCCCAAGCCTGTCCTTAGCCACGCCATCCATCCGAGAACCCACACGCCACCTCGATGCTGACAATTCTCTCCCCAACACCTCTACATCGAGAAACCTGCAGGTAGGCTCGAGTCCTAGAGTAGGTAAGAAAATGGGGTTTTTTTAGCTTCCTCCAACGCTAAGCGGCATTCAAACCCCATTTCCCAAACAAAAAAAGCTCCTCTTGTGCTGCGAACTGAAGTTGGCTTGGAGACTAATCACAGAGAGCTGAACTCAGCTCCTGCGGCCACACAAAGCCGCGCCGGGGCTGTAATTAGCTCCAAGCGCTCCAGATTTCAAGGTAGAAGGAGTAGAAAGGGCTTTATTTCTCACCTGAGACGGGGTCATGCTCCGGGAAGGCAACCCGATCGGCGAGGCACCCGGGAACTGAGGATGCCCGAGCTGTGCCGCCGTATGGTAATTCCTCATGTCGCCATACACAGACCGATAATCGTGAAAGGAGCTCCCCGCGGGGTGCATGATCTGTACCCCGTGCGGTACCACCACCGGCTGCGACAAAGGCAGTCCAGGCAGCTGGCTGCTGGAGGGGACGCTGAGGAGCCGGGGCTCGCTGTGAGGAGAGTGTGCCATCTTGCCTTCGGAGGATTTTGGCGTCTCTTTTCCAGGCTGCGGGGTCTTACTGACGGGGGGAGTTTTCACAGCCCCTTCAGGCGTTCGGGATTGTCTGGTTTCCGAGTGGTGCTCGCCCACAGCAGCCATGTGCGGGTGCATGATCATCCGCACGTCCCGAGGGACGTTGTACTGGTCGAGCCGGATGCTCGTGGGGTGCATGCGGTAATCCGGCTGCATCACCAGCACGTCGGACTGGACGGGGGCTGGCCCCCTGCACACCGTGGTGTGGTGGTAATGCATCTCCTCCTCGGGGGCGTGCTGAGAAGAGAGAGGAGGCATGACTATGTCTCGTATCGGAGCCGGCTGGGGCGTGCTGGATCGCTGAGGTTTGATCTCTATCTGGGGTTGCAGAGCAGCTCTGGGGGAATGGAGCGCTTCCGGGCGGATGCCGTAAGGGATGCCGGAGAGAGGAGGGGTGTTCATCCTCACCTCGCCTTGGGACAGATGGCCGAGGGACACAGTCTGCGTTACGCTGTGAGGGGGCATGATAACAGATTGCTCGGGATGCATGCTGGATATGTACTGAGGAACGGGAATTCCCGGCGCCAGCATGACCGGGGTACTGCTGGATAAAGCCGGAGAGGAGGTACTGCCAGGATGACAAGCCCGGGGGAACGGCGACGGCGAGTGCCCACTGGTACGCGGCGAGTGCGGCTCCTGTTTGGTGACCCCCAAGTGGGAAATAGCCCGGTCGGTTGGGGTGCTGGGTCCCGAGCTGACGTGGTTTGCTTCCGAATGCATTTTCCCAGAGAGGGAAGGGTGGTGAGGACTGACTCCAGGACTCAGGTTGGAGGGTTGCAGAGTCTTGGTCTCCACTTTCAGAGCAGCCGGATCGGACAGTTTTTTGTTCACAACCATCTGGTTGTGGACGAGTACGGGTGGAGTGTTTACAGTCTGAGTGAGGACTTTACCGGGCTGAGACGCTGGAGTCTGGACAGAAAGGTGGGACGAGTCGGACTTCTCCAGCGCAGTGCGCTCTTGTTTAACGGAGGAGATGACGGGCGACGTATTGTAAGCTTGTGTTCCTAGTACCAAAGAAGAATGGGTGGAAACAGTCCCGTAAGCCGCCGAGGTCTGGGAGCCCTTCGGCGTCGGCTGAGATGGCGTGATAGGTTCCTGTTTAATCTGAGACTTGGATACAGACTGCTGAAACTCTATATCGACAGCGCTGGCTGGGGGAATCTGGCTGATCTTGGCACTAATGCGCTGGGGACCTTCTGTCTTCTGCCCCGAGTAACTCAGAAGCACGACACCTTCCGAGGTGTTCACCCGCAGCCCCGGACTGGACCCAGTTTCTACAGGCCTCTCCTCGATAATAGACATCGATCCCGGGTGAAACCTACTGTTGTCATTTGTGCTTGACCTCTGCTTAAATTTCGGCGAGGGGGCGTTGACGAGACACGTCTGGGTTTGGGGAGCTTGCTTCACCAAGGTGATCCTGGGAGCCTCCTCCAGATCCAGGCTGTGGGGCATCCTGCTTATAACAGAAGTGGCTTTGGGAGCAATCACGGTACTGATCTTTTCCTTCTCACTGAACACCGGTGCTTCGGCCACTGGTGGGTCCAAAGCGTTGGTGACAGGAACTGCCGGCTTCTCCTCCGAAACCGGCTTTATGGCCTCCACCGCGGGGTGGAGGGGTGCCTCCTCCAAACGAGGTGCGCTCACCGGCTCGGCGTGCGTTGTTGTCACGTGCGTGGAGGTTATGCTCGTCGCCGAGACATACTTGGGCTCCATGAGTATCTTCCTCAAAGTGCTGGAGTTTGTATCGATATCCGATGCCTTCGTGTCCGGTGGGAGAGCGGGTGGGGGCGTGGAACGAGCACGGGGTTCTTCGTGCCTTACCATCCACTCTGGCACCTTGGCAGCGCCGGAGTGAAGGGGGACGATGGCGGTGGGCACCGGGGTGGGCAGCTTGGCTGCCA